TGTGTGTGTACATCTGTGTAGGGCTCTGTGTCTCTCCCCCTCCCTCCCTCCATCCATCCATCTATCCGTCATACATTCGTCCCTCTCTCCATTCCTGCCTACCCACCCAGCAAGGATCTACAGAATAATGTTTCTGGATTAAGCTTTAGAATAATAATAATTAGATCATGAAACCCTCATCCACGTTTTGTATGGGTCAAAAAATGGACCGTCCTAGAGAAGGCCTGGGTGACACTCTCAGTCTGTGAGGCCAGTGGCACTGGAAATAAGATGTTCAACAAGGCTGATAACAGGCCTTTGCTCTTGCCGACCTCCCCAACCAGAAAGTGGAGTCTTTTTATCACACATTATTGTTATTATTCTCATCAAGCACTTGTCTCTCCAATGAGTTTTTTTTTTTTTTTTTTTAAACAAACGACGATACCGCCACGAACCTGGGGTGGTACGAGCCCACCAGGTTAGTCCCAGTTAATCGAGGGCTCCAATATATTTGTGGGGAGCTACACATGCTGGAAACCGGGTCCAGCGTCCCATACATAATCTTTGAATCACTCTCTGAAATGCAGCTACCTACCCGAATGCTATGCCTCTTCACCTGATATGACAGGCGCCAGACAATCCTGATAAAACTGGCTAGTGGCTATCCCTCTTATAACAGATACTGTTTATCCTCTCTGCATCCTTTTTTTTTTTTTTTTTTTTTTTTTGAAAAAGCGGCCAGAGGAGGTGGTAGTGGTGCTGGTGAAAGCGGACACCACTACTACTTCTCATGGCGGCTCCGTCTATTGGTGGGGAACGATACCTGCTGGAAACCGGGTCCAGCGTCCCTGCACATCATATCATATCACCTGTTTATGCAGACGTCCATGCTTGGTTTCTGCTGTAGATTCTAGTCAGCTAGATCTGCCTCTTCAGCCCTTCTTTTGGGGCGCCTGTTGCTATCCATAGACCCTAGCAGTTTAACTGCTCTTATAAAGCCGCTCCTCACCCTCCCTCATACCATGCCTTGCCTACCAGACTATTTGCCGGGGGGGGGGAAGAAGTCGGGGAAATGATCACTTGGCCGCAATGGGATTGAGTCTTCCAGATTGGTCCCATCATTGAAGGAGTCTAAGGTCTCTGGTTATCTGCTCGTCCTGCCCCTCCTCCCGCCCCTCTTTTCCTCCGTTCCATTCCACTTTCCCCACCTCCCCCCCTTCTCCGCCCCGAGCCAGTCTTTGCAAAATTTTTGTATTTTTTGCTTTATTTCGTTCTGAGTGTGGGTGTGTTTGATTTGCATTTTAACCTCCTCCCATCTTGCTGTCATGTATGTCTGGATCTGTTGTTGTATGCTCTCCGTAAATTCTGGTCCTTCCAATCTCACGCTTTCCATCTCATAGGTGCAGCGTCGTCTCCATAGTGCCCACAGTACTGCCCTGCGTCCTTGTTTGAATATGTCCTCTCTGCATCCTATATATCTAATGTGTCCAATGTGTCCCATGTGATTCGACTCCATCGTGATTCTATTACCTTCTCTATTGACAAAACCTGGAGACCCCAGGCTCCTTTCTTTTTGAGGTTGACAGACGTCACTCTCCAATGAGGTTTTGGTTGATCGCTTCTTCAGTGAGGTTTATCCCTTTTTTTTTTCAAACATACAAAACCCCCTATTCTTGGGGGGGGGGCGACATCAGTCCGGTTGCTTATTACCGGCAAGCATAGTTCCTCAGCACAGAAGGGAAGAACACTGCAGATTCGTGAGCTGCCTTACCCTTCTTCAGTGAGATTTTATCCCTGAGGTCCCGTGCTTGCTCGGTTGAGCGCTTCTTTCTTTCCAGCCTCCTTTTTATTATTACAAGTGGACCCGCCACAGCGACGCTGCGGCCATTGTTGTGACACTGCTTGGGCTTTTTTTTTTTTTTTTTTCAGGAGGTTGTGTGTGTGTGTGTGT